TTCTTTCTTCTGAAGGGCAGGAATGTAGAGGATTAAATCCAGAATTGTGCCCATATTAGGCAAGCACTGAACCACTGAGTTAAACCCCTAGCTGTAGGCAAGATCTCAGTTGTCTTTTTGCTCGTAGATTGTCAGAGGACAGCCCCTTAATAGTTCCAGCTTTATGTGGGAGTCTCAGTTCCCAACCTTTAAAGATTTTTAAAAATTCTTTGAGAATTTCATATATGTATATAAAATGCATTTTAATTATATCCACTCTCACTCACTTCCCTCCAACTCTTCTCAGAGACCTCCGCTACACCCCCCCCAGCTTCATACCCTTTAAAAAAATTTTATTATTTTTATTCTGTGTATCTGAGTGTATTGCCTGCATGTACGTCAGTGCACCTGGGTCATGCAATGCCCACAGAGGTCAAATGAGGGCATCAAATTCCCTGGAACTGGAGTTAGGGATGGTTGTTAGCTGAAATGTGGGTGCTGGGAATGGAACCTGGGTCCTCTGCAAGAGCAGCTAGTACTCTTATCTGCTGAGTCATCTCTCCAGCCCAATGCGCCACCCCCCCTTTAAGCCTAATGAGTCCAATTAATGCTGCTCACATGGGTGTAGGCCATCCATTGGAGTATGGGCAACCAACCTATCAGGGCAGGCCTATACCCTTAAAGAAAAACATGACTCTCTCTCTCCAAATAGCCATCAATTGCCAATAATAGCTCCTGAGCTCGGCGGGGGGGGGGGGGGGGGGGGGATGGGACAGGATATGCGCTCATGTGCCTTTCTCCCATCCATGATGGGATGTTAACTGGCTTGATCTTGTGAGGGTTTGTGTAGGCAACCACAGCCACTATGAATTCATGAGTGCAATGGCCACGTCAAATCCAGAAGACACTGATCATTCTTCCCTGATCTCTGGTTTTAACAAACTTTCTACTACCTCTTCTGCAATGGTACTTCAGCCTTGAGTAGTAGGAGAGTTGGAGGATGGAGAAGTGGGAGGGATGGGGGCTGGGAAGGTGTGGAAAATGTCTATTTAGAGCTGAATGCTCCACAGTCACTCATTCTCTGAGTTTTGACCAATTGAGAGTTTCTGCATTAACTGCCACCCACTGCCAAATGAAGCTTTTCTGATGAGGGTTGAGAGCTGTCCTAATCTGTGGGTATATAGCTAAGTACTTAGAAGACAGTTTGATACTTTGTTCATTTAGCAAATTAATCACAGTAAGTTCTCCCCTAGGGCCTACGCCCCCACTCCCAACCATGAGTTCCCTGCAGGTTTACAATACTAGGCATAAGTTCCCTCCTGTGGAGTAATGACCACTCGATCTTCCTGACACTTCTTCCCTTGAACTACATGGATGGTATAATCTCCAGATTACAGCTAGAAAGTTCTCCTTCCTGCTCATGCAGCCAGCTCCACTCAGGGACTTGCCTCAGATTTTCAGATCATTCTGTATATTTGACTTTAGAGAACCTTCTTATAAACTCAGATAGCTACTTGCAATATTTGTAACATTTTACTCAGAATTTCCAGGTTCTCAATAAAAAACTTTTTATGGTATATCTAGTTTGCCAAGAGCATATTATCACCATCCTCTGACAGAATTTTAAATGTCTGCTGGTGGGTAGAAGATGTCTGTCTACATTCAAAGAAGAAAGAGAAGGGACTTCTGCTCTTTGGAAGTTTAGAGATTTATTTTGTCCAGTTAACTTTGTCATATTTGATGACTTTCTTTCAATGATCCAGACAATCATTCTTATATACATACTGTCATTCAAAAATACTTAGGAAGAGCGTAGTATCTGGACTTTCATTTATCCACTAAATACATACATTAACCTGAGTTCAGATCCCCAGCACCCACATAAAAGCTAGGCATGGTAGTGGGGGACAGAGACAAGTGGATCTGGAAGACTCAAGGTCCGATGAGAGAGCATGCATTAAAAACAATAAAGTAGAGCTGGCCTTTAATCCCAGCACTCAGGAGGCAGAGGCAGGCAGATCTCTGTGAGTCTGAGGCCAGCCTGGCCTACGTAGTGAGTTCCAGGCCAGCTGGGACTACAGGGAGACCCTGTCTCAAAAACACCAAAACACCAAAACAACAACAACAACAAACAAACAATAAGGTAGATAGTGACAGAGGAGAACTCCCAACATTGATTTCTGGCTTCAACATACACATGCACAGGTTCATCCACACACAGGCCTGTTCCACAAGGCACTCACACAAATAAAAATAAATAACACATATGTATAATGATGTACAACATGTGCTTTATGATAGATAGACACTTGAGTTCAGCTAAACCTACTAGACTCCCATCTTCGTGAAGGACAAAATATTGATCATAAAATTACATAGACGAGTATAAAGTAGAAAATACAATCAGTGCCATAGAGTAAATGTGTATGTTGTTATGAGATCTACTGGCAAATTTATCCTGTTCTGGCTAGGAAGGACGCTCCTGGGGAAGGGGTGACTGGCTTTCAGTGACTAATTATTTCCTTATGAAACAGTCTGTTCAAAGGCCTAGGGATCATGAAGATTCAGAAGGGTGGAGAAATAGAAGGTAAAATAGAAAAATATGGTTCCAGAAAAAGCCTAGAGGACCAAACCCTGAGCGATCTTGCAGTCTATGTTAAGGGCTTTTGAACTTCTTGTAAGAACCACTGAAGGGCCTTAAATGCTGCTATGACACATTCTATTTGTCCTTTGAAAAGATCTTAAACTCCTGGGATGCCAGACTGGGAAGGAGACAAGGGGGGATAGACCAGGAGATCACTGCTGGGATTAATCCTGATTTTGACTTTGTAGCTAGGGAGAAACAGACAAGCTTCAGGCTTACCTACCTTGATAAATGGCAGTGTTTCTTTACTAAAACAAAGACAGAGTTTGGGGGAAAGGCCTTGCGTTTTCTTATTATACTGAGCTTGAGATCCGTTTGAAATAGCCAAGAGGAAAAATATCAGGATGGTTTGGATACATTGGTCTGGAACTTAGATGGGATTAGGGGAATGTAAGTGAGTTATTGGTTATGGGTGGTCACTTAGGTGATACATTTCCTAAGGAAAGATTATAGACTTGGTCATGGAGGATCTCGATGATAGGGCTGTCTTGGTGGGGAGAGGGAGTAAGAAGCTTGGAGTGGGATGTAGAGATAGTAGGAAACAAGAAAATGGAATCAATGCTTATGGACGTCTCTGAGGAAGAGTTGTTATTGCAGAACTGGGCCTGGAACCTTGGATATTTGACATATCAGGTAAATGCTTTAATACTAGGTTACATCACCAGTCCATGAAGTATTAATGTTCCCTTTTTGGGGGTTTGTTTGTTTGTTTTTGTTGTTGCTGGTTTGTTGTATTTGAGACAGGGTCTCCCTGTAGCCCTAACTGTCGTGAAACTTGCTGTATAGACCAGTCTGATCTTGATCTCACAGAGATCTAACTGCCTCCGCCTCCAAAGTGCTGGGATTAAAGACATACACTACCACTCCCAATGAGAAGTATTAATTTTCAAAGGAAATTTATTGCTTAATTATGATTGGATGACAGAATGCTTTTCAATTTTTATGAATTTTTTATTTTTTGAGAATTTAATACAGAATATTTTTTAAAAGATATAATTTTTTAAATTTAATTTTATTTTTGTATCTTTGAGACAGAGCTTGTAGACCATACTGTCCTTGAACTCACAGAGATCCATCTGCTTCTGCTTTCTAAGTGCTGGGATCAAAGGCGTACACTACCACGCCTCGCTAAGTTTTAAAATGTTTTCTTTTTCTTTATTTTTTATGTGTATGAGTGTATTACCTGCACGCAAGTGCACCCGTGTCGTGCAATGCCCGATGAGGTCAGAAGAGGGTGTCAGATGCCCTGGAACTGGAGTTACAGATGGATGTTGGGAATTGAAACCCATGTCCTCTGTAAGAGCAGCTAGCACTCCCAACAGCTAAGCCATCTCTCCAGCCCCTATAATGTCTTCTTGATAGTGAAAAGGTGACTAAGGGAGTGACATGGGCTGTATAGAGGAACTCAAAGAGACTGGACCAGAGCTGGGGATATAGCTTGGTGGTAGAACATTTGCCTAGATTGTGCAAGGTTCTGAAGTTCATCTCTTGTGAAAAAGAAAAGGATACTGACTTATAGTAATAACTCATATTTATTGAGCTCTTGCTATTGCTAGGTACTGTTCAAAGACTTAGCTTGTGTTAACAAGCATAGTTCTATAAGAACTCCTTGAGACAAGAACATTTATGAGGGATATCAGAAAATAGTCACCAGACAAATGATATAATTTGTCTGAGTCAGAGAAAAGCAATTTCAATCCAGATAGTCTTTTTGTTTTTAGTTATTTTATTTTCAGCTGACAAACAATAATTGCATATATATTATCTACTTACAGGATATAATAAGATGCTTTGATACTTCACTGTGGAGTGATTAAATCAAATAACCAACAAATCTATTATCTCATTTATCACTTTTTGTGGTGACATTTGAATCAATACTTTTAGTAACTTTAGACTATCTGTTTTCAAGAATCAGGCTACATTGCTTGTCAGTTTAGGCATGCGCAATAAAGTATCTACATCATTTGAGAGCCAAGATCCATCTACAAATGTTCAAAATGTTATTGGTTGCATAATAAGTTTGTGGCAAAGGTATACATTCATGCTGGCTCCAACCTTTGTTAAAATTCCTTCTTGGCTTTGTATTGTAGAGCATGACAGGCATAAATGGAAGTTTCATTAGCACAGCATTAGCTTTCATCAGTGGCCTTTAATAAATGTGTGCTTTCTTCATGTAATTGTACCTGTAACCGTGCAGAAGACTCACTGTGAGAGTCTAATAAGCGAGCAGAATTCACAAATCTATAGCTACTCTCTCCTCTTTGCCAAGATGTAGCATTTGTGAGTTTCATTAACCAAAGTCCTAAAATAAGTGACCTTTTCCAGTCCTTGGGGACTGGCCTTAACTACAATGTGTGTTTCTTTTCCTCCTAAGGATTTAACAATACAGACAGAACATGTGACAAAGAGTTTATCATACGGAGAACAGCCACCAATCGAGTCCTGAATGTCCTTCGTCACTGGGTCTCCAAGCATGCTCAGGTAATTCAGGAGTTTCAGCATTGACTTTCAAGGATTTCATGTTTAAGTTACCTTTTAAGTCATTACACTTGTAAACCATCTCCTGGTGCTCTACAGGTAGAATCTTTGAGACTTAGAAACTAGGAAGGGAAGACACAGGGGAGACATATGGAGACAAGCAGCCACATGTGTTACCAACATCTGCTCTTTCACATTTGCAAACTGCATGATTTGACCATGTGAACCAGGACTTCCCTCCTCTCTCATCTGCCAGGCAGCATCCCTTCCACCTAGCATCTACAGCCCAGCAGCTGAACTAGATCAACCTTGAGGGGTCCCTTTCTTGGGTCTCCTCTGTAAGTGGAACTCTATAGAGGCATCCATCTACTTTGGCACCCACAGTCCCCTGAGCTGGACATCATGGTGCTACTTGAGGCCCAGAAATAACCTGGTATCTGGTAAGGGAGAGATTTCTCAGCCTGAGTCACAAAATATTTTGCCCTCTGTCATTTGATGCTTTGGTTCCTAGTATTCTGCTTTTAAGTTGTATCAAACTGAAGTTTTCAGCACGCAAAGTTTGTAGAATTCATTCCATTTTTGCAAGGTAAAGTCAGGCCCTTCTTTACTTTATTGGCTCAGAGCCATGTACAGTCCTTTACTGACCCCTGTCAGGCCTTCCTGGACTCAATGCTGGCTAGCAGCCTACAAGGAGAACTAGACAGAGAGACTGGGACCCTGAAGTGCTCAGATCAAAGATGTGACAGAACTTAAAGACCACTTTGAATTAAGCATGAAGTGCAAAATGGACATTTGTGATTCAGTATCTTTCTGCTAAGGATGGAAGAGATGCACCTTTCATGCATCCAGTGAGGGCTGAGCACAGCTAATAAGAGCTGCACACTGGAGTAGGTATGAGTGACAGGATCCACGTGGTCTCTGCCTTAAGGAGCTTCCCATCATAGAAAGGAAAGGGCCGCTCCCAGCATTGTGCTTAGTGCAATTCTATGCAACAAGCTATTCCACTGGATCTTTCCCATTGCCCCAGACCTTCAGGAGGAGGTATAGAGGACGTGAAGCCTGCATATGCTTAAGGGCTGTTGCTGGGCTGCCCAAGGAGGATGAGTAAGGAGCTCTTGAAAGCAATTCACCCATAGTTGTAGTTACCCATTAGTGGGAAGTTAACATAGGAGATGTCAGTGGAGGGTGGTAGAGTCAGTTCCCTGTCACACAGGGAAGGAATAGAGATGCTGCTACCTCACATCAGCAGCAAAAGAGACACCTCAAGGAAGCCACCAGCCACATGCCATGGGCAAAGAGAGGAGAGGTGTATGCAAGCACACAGGCTCCCTCTCTACACCGTAGGCCAAGTAAAACTGCAGGGAATTCAGTTCAGCCCTGCCCCTGCCCAAGAGGACTGTCCACCGCCCAGAGGAGTGATGTAATCCCCACAGAGAGAGTCTGGGTAACGTGAACACCAGCACCTCAGGGCCTAGGGGAGTTGAAGTTGAAAGTGACTTACAGGAGGCCAGGTATTGCCTGAGTCAGGGGAGCTGGTCTGAAGTGCCCAGCAAAGTGGTTTTCAACCACCACCGCCCCCACACCAACATGCTTCTACAGAAGCTAGCTAACCACTGTCCTTCCGTCAGACCCAGAGGAGGCCAAGACTAGGTTCCACCTGCACATCACACCAGACTCTTCTTTCCTGGAACCTCATCCTGAGCATCTGAAGCCACAGCCAGTGGGTAAAGTTGGGGTGGAGAGAGCAGACGAGGTCTCCTGTCCAGGTTTCCTGGTTTGGAACAGGTCAGGTGTGAGCAGGATGTACGTCTTGTGTCGAACTGAAATGTGGATTAATATATCAGACTTCACATTCTGACCGTTGAAATGAGACTTTTTTGACACGTGCCCAGACTTCTGCAGGATAGGTAAGGGTGGCCCACAGAGCTGCTGAATGGCATGGGTGAGCTGCTTGATGATTCCAACATTGTTTATGGTACAGGAAGTATAGTTTCTCTTGGGAGCACAATTTCACAGACTATATCAAATAATTTAGCTATTACATTTCTAACTCATATTAGGCCTCTTACACTAATCTGATGGCAAACAGAGATATATATTTAGTTGAAAATGAGGAACTCGAACTTGTATTTCATTTTACATGGTTTCTTCATTTTTGCTGAACTGTTACATACATGACATGATCTTGTTCGGTGATCTTTGCACCCAGTACCCTGTAACTACCACCCTGGTCAAGACATAGGTTATGTCCAGCCCCCAAGAAGACCCCTCCTAACCAACCCTCTCTTCTTGAGCATCACTCAACCTCTATTAGTTTTATTTTTATTGTCACTGATGTTTATCTGCTCAGGAGTGTTCGTTTTCTGTTTTTCTCTTGCTTTGTTTCTAATTGTTTCTAATGCTTTCTACAAATACACACCCTTTTCCCATTATAAAAAGACTTCTGTGAATGGTCAATTTTGACACAGACTTAATTGGATTAGTAGACACTTAAGGTGTTAATGAAACATACCTTTGGGTGTGTCTGTGAGGGAATTCCCAGAGAGGTTTAACTAAGGAGGAAAGATCCACTCTGAATGTGGACTTGTGGAATGAATACAAAGGAAAAAAAGGGGGGAAATGAGCAGAGTACTGGCATGCTCCTTTCTCTGCCCCCAACTGCCAACCTGACTAACCAACTGCCTCATTTTCCTGTCACCACGGAGCTGCCTGCCACCTGGCCATCCCCACCTGCCACCTGGCCATCCCCACCTGATCCAGGAGCCAGAATAAATCCTTCCTTCCTTAAGTTGTTGCTGTCAGGTATACTGTTACAGCAATGAGAAAAGTAACCAATACAGTTTTATCTTATATATACTTTATAAACATATGGGGGGGAGACAGAGAGAGAGAGAGAGAGAGAGAGAGAGAGAGAGAGAGAGGAGACAGAGAGAGAGATCCTGTATAAACACACACACACACAGAGAGCGAGAGAGAGGGAGACAGAGAGAGAGAGAGAGATCCTGTATAAACACACACACAGAGAGAGTGAGAGAGAGGGAGACAGAGAGAGAGAGAGAGAGAGAGAGAGAGAGGAGACAGAGAGAGAGATCCTGTATAAACACACACACAGAGAGAGTGAGAGAGAGGGAGACAGAGAGAGAGAGAGAGAGAGAGAGAGAGAGGAGACAGAGAGAGATCCTGTATAAACACACACACAGAGAGCGAGAGAGAGGGAGACAGAGAGAGAGAGAGAGAGAGAGAGAGAGAGAGAGAGAGATCCTGTCTTAGTAGTTCTCCCAACCTCAATCCTTGACAGCTGAGGCAAACGCTTTTACAGTGTGAAAATCCCAACTGGAGGAGCGCTCAGGCCAGTCTGCCTGAAGATGGGGATCTCAGCGCTTGAGGGCATGTGGGAATCCTATTGGAGAAGCAGTGGGCTGTGGAGTGAAGGGTGATCTGGACTGAAATCCCTGCTGTAGCATTTACTGGCTGTGCGGTGTATGGCTCAGGAAACCCTTTTGCTCCTCTGGGCCTGTACTCCTTCCTCTCGAAGAATGGGGACAATGCCGCTTGTTCTTGTGAGCTGTGGGGAAGACCACTTGAAGCAAAACATGTAGCGTGGCTGTTACAGGTGGCTGCTGTTGGTGGAAACAGGCATGTGTTGGCACTATCTAATCCAGTATGACTCAGGTAGGCAGAATGTTGTCCCCCACCAAATCTATAAGCCAGTGATGTCTCAGAGGACTTCTGTGATACTGCCCACTTGAACTTCATGAGATGGAAGAAAAGCTCTTTATCTGAGTGTGTAGTCTACTGACTACAGACATACGAAACTGATTGATCTCCTGAAGGGCAGCTAGCATGGCAGAAATGCAGAAATTGTAATGTTAATTAAAATCAAATAGCTACCAGTGTGAGTTCCAGTAGGAAATCAGGCCCAGCACCTGAGACTTGAGTTACCTGTGCTCTCCTGTAGTGCTGCATTCTTTTGAAACATCACCTAACAGGTGGCCCACACCACAGCAGCAGTAGAAAGCTGGGGAAGAGGCCCACTCTCATGGAGGGAAAAGCAAAACCTTTCCATGGTGTTGGTGCTATAGTTAATGCATCATGGGAGAAGATGACAGCTCCTCCCAAGGAAGGAAAGAACCCGAATACATCCGTGTCCCACAGTTTGGACAGGTTGGAGAAGGAATGTGCCCTGGTGACTCATGGAGAGCAGGGAAGTAGGTGCTGGTGTGACAGTCACTACATAGGGTATTAGGTATGGGGCACAAGATGCAGAGCTCACTCAGTTCCTCTTAATCTGCTGGATATTTTGACAGTTGTAGAAGCCTGTTTTTAAATTTATTTTTCTTGGCATCACTTAGCAAAACACAGAACTCAGTGTCACATTAGAGCTTGGAGAGTTCAGATGTATTCTTTGTTCTAGATCTGAAGCGGAGGTTGAGCCAGGACAAACGCAGCACAGTTTTTGGTGTGGGTGGGAGAATGAAATTTGTAAGAAACAACTCTCTATTGAACAGAGAACTCCTGTCACCTCCACTGACAGCTCTTGGCTGGCTTCCAGCTCCATCCTGTCCTCCGGCTCAGCCCCTTCCTGTCCATCTGCCTTGGGTACTTTTCCATCCACATGCCCTACTCAGCCTTGGTTTTCAAGAATTGGCTCTGTTTTTCCACTTCCAAGACTACCTCAGTGTTTGGACACCTACCACTGAGTTCTTTGCAGGATAAGAATGTCTCTCTGGGCCTCTGACTCTCTCTGCCATGGGCAGGTGTTTCCTGTTCTTGGCCTCTTGGAGGAGGACCTTATAGTCTCCCCCAAGTTCTCATCATAGTCATGTGAGTTCCAGGGGATCTGGGTACTAGTGCCCTGAAGAAAAAAATGAATGGATTCCATAGAACAATCTAAAAGCCAGCCTCAGGTTTGCTCTTGTTTTAGTAATGATATGGGGAACAGTCTTTTATATAGACTTCATTCTTCACTTAGATGGTAGTTTTCTCTGTGATAATGGATTCTG